AATTATGTATTCTACACTGAACGCGTAAAGAACATATACATAATACTAAACTACTAAGAAATTTCAATATACAAAACTTGATCCTCGAGGATCTTACAGTGTTAACGATATTTCCGGATATAAACAGCCAATCTTCAGACATATTAGAACATAAGAAAACAGTACATTGATAGACGCCTAAATGCAAAGAGAATCAATGAACCCAGCAAGCAATTTTCCAATTATATCATAACTAGATTTGCTCATCCCTGAAGCATTAAAATGTAAAATAAAAAACGATTTCCACATAAAAATATGCAAGCCAGAAGCCTTACATTGAAAATCTTGAGATGCCCTTTCTCACCACTAGAAAACTCTTTCACCAGCTCGTACGCCTTCCTTCCGTGCATCTTCTGAAGATATAAAAGTCTTCCACCCTTTCAATTATATACTTCACCTTCAAAACCCAAATTATCTTTGAGACATTTCACCGAACACGTCGCACATGTTTTTCTTTAATGTATATACAAGTGATTATGCTCCGAGAACAGCGTTAACAGAGAAATAAAAAAACTTGTGAAAAGTTTGGAAAACAGTAAAAAATGGGTTTGCGTGGAAAATTGGTTTTGGGGTGTTAGAGAGGTGAGAAAGTGGAGATAAGTACATTCTCTCTTTGGATCTAAAAAGCATGGTGGAGGTTTTGGCGGGTGATTTAGCGCCAGTGGGGCTTTAGGCCCATTTTTAAAATAACTTTTAACTAAAAAAACTCGTTTTCACCACAAAATCAATACAAAATGGGTAAAAATGAAAAAAAATTGATTAAAAAAATAATTTCAAACCAACCACAAAATCAAATATTTATAATTTTTTTATTTTTAACTTTTCGTTTGAAAGTAAATTATAATTTTACTCTTATTAATACATGAAGTCAACTCAATTATATATTTACCTTTTATTTTAACAATTTAATATTAACATCCTTAAAAAAATAATTTATCACTTAATAATTTATTTTAATTATTTAAAAATAAATAAAAATTATGGTTTATTTATTAAAATATTAATAATGAATTATTATAAAATATATTTTTATTATAATTGTATTTTTATATTTTTTGTTATAGTTTAAATTGATGTATTTCATATATAATACTAATGTTATTTGAATTTATTTATAATAATATATTTTTATTTTTGAATGGTTAAAATGATAAATATATGATTTAAATTGCATTATTTTAAATTTTAAATGAGTGATTGTAGTTGAATTAGAATAATTAAAATACTATCTTAAAATTCATTTGTTAAATGAGTGATTGTAGTTAAATCAGTATAACTTAAATATTATCTTAAATTTCAAATATTAAATAAGTTACCTTAAAATATTTTTTTATATTTTTATTATAGTTTAAGTCGATATATTTTATATATCATAGTATTAATAAGTGTAAATATAATTTAAATTATATATTTTTAGTTTAAAACATAATATATATAATAGATAATTAATCTTTCCAAACACACATTTTAACAATAATCTCATATAATTAAATTTTAAACTGAACTTTTAAACAACACTTATTTTTATATCTATTTTCGTTTTTTATGTCCATTTTAATATTTATGCCGCCCATAGTATCCAAATGAAAAGCTACTTTCAATGAATCATCAAGCAAGTTCTTAGTTTAATGTTATACATCATGTAACTTTCTAGGGTAAGCTGCCCTTAATGTCACTAGATTGTTAGTTGACTTAGTTCGATTTTAGTTTGACCATTGAAATAAAAAAAAAGTGTCAATTAGATAATATTTTTGGATTATTTTAAATTAAAATTATGATAAAAAAAATATAGAGCATGTAAGCAATAAAGATCAAATGTGTCATTGTAGGAATCTATTTAGGCCCGTTTGGTAATGTTTTCTAAGAACACATTTAGTTAAATTGTTCATTTTACCGTAAAATCAATGTCAAACGGGTAAAAAAAATATGGTGGAAACAGTGATTTCAATTTAACAACAAAAGCTAGGATTTCTAACTTCTTTTTTTTAACTTTACGTTTAGAAACAAATTATAATTTTACTCTTACTAATGCATAGGCTCCACTTAATTATATATTTATACTTTATTTTAATAATTTAATACTAACATATTAATTTTAATATTACTTTTAATAATTTATTTTAATTATTTAAAAATAAATAAAATTCATGACTTATATATTAACATATTAATAGTGAGTTATATAAAACATATTAACATATTAAAAGTCCATTTATGTACTTTTAAAAGTCAATTTACCAAACTGGCCCTAAGTTATCATGTCAGCACTTATGTTAATAGTGAATGATTTGTGGTTTGATTAAAACCAAATTGAGAGTCCAATGACCTAATTGAAAAGATTTTCAGTTCAATGGTCAAAATAGAATTGGACCAAAAGTTTAGTGATCTTGGAGGTAGCATGGCCAACTTCCTAATTAACGTAAAGGGCAAACTACTAGTTTGTTGTCATAATCAATGAGCCCTTTCCCTTTATTTTTCTTTTTTGATTATTTGAGTAATCATGGGCACGACATATCATTAATTGCATTGCAAAACATGCTTTTCTTTTTTACAAAAAATAGATAGGCTTTCAAATATAATGTTGACGATCAATGATGACAAGGACAATTGAGGACGACAGAGGGATATTGATGAAGCTTTTGGACCCTTTATCATATTCCATTATTTTTCTTTATATATGATCATTATTGAGGTTTGGTCATCAATTTCAACATCCCAATAGTTAATATATTATAGTATATTCCTAAAAATACACTGTACATGAGTTTCGTAGATAGGCAGAGGAATGATTTTATTTACGTCGATAAGTATTATATTTTTAAGATAAATGTTGAGATTTAAATCCCTAATTATAATAATTGATATTCGATTATTGATTCATTAAACTATCGATCAAAACAAATTTAATAATACTTTTCTAATATTATAGCATGATTATAATGAGTAATATTTGTTCATATTTTTTCATCTCTTGATAACAAACATGCCATATAGACACGGATGAAATTATGCTTTGTTCTCGGGGTACTATACCCTAATTTTTTATCATTAAAAAATATATAGAGATAAATCCCTATTTAAACCTTCAAATTTTAGTTTATTTCGATTCTACCTATTTTTTATGTTAATTATACATTATCCTTATTTTCTATTATTAATTATATTTTACTACCCTTGAACTAGTATTCTAGCTCGATCCCTGCCTATAACTGCTCGGATTCAATCTTTTAAATAGAAAAACAACCATTTTTATCACCGAAACCATTAAATAAGTTCCATTAATAATACTTGAATCTCCATATTTATAATCATCCAAACTTTCAAACTTTTTTAATACCAAAGCTTGAGCATGATAAGGCCATGGAAAATGCAAATGTAAGTGTTGGAGAAAAGGTGAGCAAGTGTGCCTATGAACTGGCTGGAACCAGCATGCAAATGTCCCCTACAATATTTATGTGGCATATTCATCACCATCCTTGTAAGGTCAATCAGTTCCCACCTCTATTCTCTTGACTTGTCTGCCAATTTATTAAATTTGGTGACCTAAGCTGATCTCTAAAGACTAAAAGCCGCATTGCCACTGGCAACTTCTGGGTTTTAAGGTAAAATTTTCACACCCATTACCCAACCTTTATCTCTACTTCTATCCACTACAGAATTTTGAATATGGAGGTTGCTGCTGCAGTTGTTGACGTTTGACTATTTATTAAGGTGCATGTATATACATATATATTCAAGGGTGAAGTGAACAAACTTAATTTAAAGGGATCGAAATTAGATTATAAAACTTTTTGAGAGTAAAATAAATATTATTATATTCCTTTAATCACAAAACATGTAAACTTAACGAATCTTACGTTGAACACAATTTTGTATTCTTCGAACTCTGTCGTTTCATTGGATGGAACCCCAAAGAGATACATTGTTAAATGCACTAAGAGGTATCACTCCACCATTGAAATCGTTGAAATCATCGAAGAGAGGCTCTGGTCACATTAGCAAAGAACAATCCATGCCAACAACAAAAATCAACCACATCATCCTCTTGTTTATGATTTAACACGAGTGATCAATAATTTTAAAATTGAGTGATAAAATTGAAAATAAATAAATTTTAGTGATTAAAATAAAAGTGAGAAGAAAGTATTTGTTCATGATTTTTTAAATCATTGACAATGTATACACATTTATAGGTGTACTTACTTGAACTTAAAACTTTTAATAAGAATAATATTTTATTTAATTATTGAGGTCAATTGACGAATTCTCATATTATTTATATTAAAACATATTTAGACCTAAAAAATTAATTGATAAAATATACATATGAAGTTTTATAGAGGTATTTGTGTTTATTCCATAATTAACCCTTTAATAGTCCCCTTTGATTCCAAAAAATTAATTAATATTAAAGAGGTAAGTTCAAATGGTAAACAGTTTGATATCATTTAAATAGATTTCGATTTTATCTTTTTGTATGTAAAAATTACCTTCTTAGAGACTCATGCATCAAAATTAAATGTCATTTAGATCGATTCGAATTAATGAAGACCATAAACTTTAGAATCGAAAGTGAAAAGAATTAACGGTTCCCTTTGTTATTAACGGTAAGATTCGACGGAAGAGAAATATTTATGAAAAAAATTGTTATGGCATTTTCTTCCTTATATTTACCGAGTATATCTATGGAAAGACAATTTAATATAAAGTCAAAAAAAGACACTACCGAAAATATTAATTTTATTTTAACATTTTCAATGGAACGCTATCTAAAATATTAATATTTTTAACGATTCCGGTTACAACCAAAAATATTATAGAAAAAATAACATTTTAAATAACGAGATTAATATTTTAAGTAGAGTTGTACGAAAATATTAAAATAATATTAATATTTTCGATTATACTTTTTTTTTTTACATTATATTAAGCAACCGTATAGCAGAACTAGTCACATTTATCTCTCTGTATCCTCACATATATACAGGGAGTCTTTGCAACAAATTGAAGAAGAAAAAAACATTGCTTTTAGTTTCATTTAAGAGAGAAAAAAGATCCAGTGAGAGCTGCCATCAACCATGGCCGGTCTTCAAAGATCTGCAGTTTCTTTTAGAAGGCAAGGATCTTCAGGGATTGTTTGGGACGACAAGTTTCTGTCGGAGTTAAGTCAAATGAAACCAGAACAACAAGAAGGAGAGACCAAGCAAGAAGAAGAAGGGCCGGCGCAAGATAAGGATAACAACAACAACAACCCTGAAAAAATCGATGTCGTTAAGGATGTTAAGCCGACAATTGGGCCCCTCAACACTACCATCGAAAGAAGCCGATCTAACGGCGGCGAAAGACGAGGTTACCGTACCGGCAAGGTGTCCCCCGCTATTGACCCACCTTCTCCAAAGGTTTCAGCTTGCGGTTTCTGCAGTGCTTTCGGGAAACAACCCAAGAAAAATGGTAGGAAAAAGCCTGGTAAGCGTAGATCAAGATAGGTTTTTTTTAATCTATTCATTTCGTTCTCATGTATTTTCCGGTGACCGGAATTGGGTAGTTCTGGGTATATTGATTTATGTATTTCTTAGGTTGTCTTTAGAGAGATTTAAGCTTAAATTGAAGTCCATCTATATGAACAGAGATGATTGTTGGGTGTTTTAAAGTTTTGATTTTTTGTGTGTCAATCTTCTTTACTTGTGTTTCATAATTTGTGAACTGTGTGGATATGTTAATTAAATTAATCTTAAGGTATTGATTTGATCTTTACAGAATAAGAACAAAGACTTCCTTTTGTTGTTCCTTGTAGATTCTCTCTTTTTTCTCTTAGGATGTGAAAATACAGTACTAAAAAACAGGTTTCAGATTTCTGGGATGTCTGGTTTTCTGTCTGAAATAGTTGGGGGGGGGGGGAAAGGTGAGTTTGCAAGGGAATATTTCCTGTTTGGTTTGGCAGAAAATGTTTTCCTTTTGCACTTTCATTAAAGTTGCTTATTAGGTGTAATAGTTGCCTTTTTAATTCGATAATCTCCACTTGTTAGGAAAGGGGTAGAGATAGGGTTTGTTGCTGTGAATTATCATCAATCCAATCTTAAATGGGGAATTTATTGTGATTTTTAATTCTAAATTTATTAATATTTATTGTGATTTTTAAATGGAGATTTCTTCTTCTTTTGATCAGTGAACGGTAACATTGATCGTGATGGTATTGGTGATAATTTACGGTTCTCGATGAGATAAATTACGATAAATTATGATGTAATAGAAGAGTTTAATTGATTTTTTCTTAAAATTAAGTTTAATTAATTTTCTAAAAAGTTTAAATGTTGTTTATTTTTAAAACAATAAAAAAGTATTGTTTAGATTTATATTACTAAAAATAATATATATAATTATCAAAAATAAATTATTAAAATCACTATTAAATTTTCATAAAAATAAAAAACTTTACAAACTATTAAATGAGAAATATAAATTATTAATTGTTTAAAATCAATTAAGTCCTTATGTCGTGATATCATCTATCATAAATTATTATATTAAAATCATAGATCAAGAAATTTAGGAATGATGATTAAAATTTTAATTTTTTATTTTAAAAAATAATAGGTATACAATTTTTATTTTATTTTTTTCCTTCTAATATATTAAATTAAATTTAATCAGTTTTTTAAAATAATAGGATGCATTTGACTCCTTTGAGGACTTGGTATATCTGACCCTAATTATATTAATATCGTAATGATCATTAATTAATATATTAATTTTTTTCTTTTAACTTAAAGAATACATTATATACAAAATAAGTTTAAAAATTACATTTTTCTTAAAAAATGGAATACTTCATGTACCATCAAATCATTATTTTATTATGAATTTATTGCAACCATCTTTACTTTTTTATCTTTTTTCCAAAGCTGAAGAAATTTTGATCATTTATTTGTTTTTTTGAAAATAAAGGAGTTGGTAGGCCAAAGGTTGACAAAAATAGAAATGGGATCATATCCGAATTTAAATTCAATTAAATTATTAGGATCAATATGTGTTTAATATGTTATTATCTTTATTATTGTTAAATGTTTCAATGAATTTGCCATCATGAATTAAGTTGACATTAATTCAATTGATAACTTATCAAATTTATTTTAATTTTAATATACAATTTACAATATTATTAAAATAATTTTTAAGTATTCATACTTTCATATACAATTTAAATAAAATAATTAAAAATTATTATTCAATATTCAATTATAAGATTTAAAAATTCGTTAACACATAATCCGTATACGTATCAAAATATGAGCTAAAGATGTCGCATTAACTTTACAAACATTTACTGATCATAAATGCTTAAAATTTTGTTCTATTATAAAACATTCCATTATTAATTTTATAATTATTTTATTAATCGTGTAAAATCATAAAATAATAATTATCATATAAATTAAGCTTAATTTTAGACAGAAGTTTAATAGTTCAATAGTAAACAATTTTGCTTAAAACTGCCTAATTTTAAAATATTTCATTGTTCTCATAAGATATATTTTTTTTTATCTAAAATGTAACATTTCGATTCATATTTATAAACCTAATAATATATCTTAGATATTTCTTATACGTATACATGCCGTCTAGAAAATATAAAATAATAGGATGTCATTATTGATATATGTAGTTGTTCTTTGTTGATTGATGCCAACTCGACTCCTTGCTTCACTTACCCTTCCTTACCTATGCGTGAAAATCATCACACACTAAATATTCACTTAGTGGGCATTATAAACAAACTAAGGTGACATCAAATGTTAAACAACTTAACAACATCATAACATTATTTTTCTTTATAAAAACTTAACTTAAAATATCATAACATTTAAAAACATTAAACTTAAATTCAAATAAAATCATTAAATATCTAAACCGATTTATTCAAGTCGTCTTTTCTCATTAGAGTCCTAAAAATCATCATCTCATGATTTTGTCAAAACCATGATAATCAATAATAAACATAACAATCATTTCATACTCTATTTCATTCAAATACTTTTCAGAACTTTCTTATTTTAGTCTCATTTTCCAATTTTATATTCATTCACATATTCATTTTCATATTCCATGTTCATAATAAATACTTTCACATTTCAGAATTTATTTTCTAAATCAGAACTTATTTTCATACTCATAGCTTACTGTCAGATTCATAGCTTATTTTCAAATTCATAGCCCAATGCATATTTATGAGAATGCAAGGTACGTGAGTAGAACATAAGGTGCGCACAAGGCACCTCACGGTGCTAATCATAATTGAAACATATAATGCATTCCAAAGGCAATCATAACAAGAGCACCAACGGTGCAGATCATAATGTACACGAATGTATCATAACTTAACTCGAAAGTACTCAACTTAATGGCATGCCAAATGTACCTACGACTCTCAATGCAACATACAATGGGCTTTTCCATTAATTATTATATATTATTAAATTATCAAAGAAATCAATATATCAACATATCCAACTCTTCATATCTTAACATAATTGGCAATTCATACCCTAAACATTTCATTTCCACATAACATTTTTGTATCATAATCATCGTCAATTATCTTTCTTTAACATATAAACATCATATTCATCATGTAATAAATATCATAACTATCATATCAATTGTAATAAAGTTGACTTGTTTCGAGCATTTATAATAACCTATAACATAGGACTAACATGAAAACATAATTTATGACAAGTTTTATATGCTGGTAGTTTGCACTACTTGCAAACAAATATTATTTTGTATTAATATATTGAGTTAAAATTTATTCTGTTTATATCACTAGAAATTAGACTCGAATACGGATCTAACTATATAAGACACTTTTTCTAGTTCATCTTATACAATTTATAGTGAATTTTCGAAGTATACATATAGAAGCTGTTTTGAGCAGAATCTGTTGTCCTGCTTTCGAACCTATCTTAAATTAAAAATTTATATCTTTTTGTATATCTATCGAAACTAGTCTCCGTTTGTTTTAAAAGAAACTATACTGGCATACAAATCCAACAGTGTAAAAATCATCCTCTAATAGTTTCTTTATAATTTATGATGATTTTCTAAACTTACTGTTCAGAATACAAATCTGGGCAGATTTCACTAACTTATATTTTCAGCTTATTCACTAATTATGTTATCATATTGACTTAACATATATGTACGAATCACAATTCACATAATAGTTAGAAGTTACTTCTTATCATAGTAATTTTGTCACTGGCTCATCGTAAGCTATTGATTGCTTGATAACACAAATATGAATTAAGTATGCACTCACCTGATGTCCTTAGCTTGTAAACCTTTATAGCACTTCATATTATGTCCTTAAGCTTTTGCTTAGCTTTAACATTGTTTGATCTTGATTTCAATCATAATCTAAATAAACACCATTTACGTAACATATACATTTCAAACCATATGTTAGAATCTTACTAACATAGGCACATAATATAAAATAAATTCCTAAAAACCTTCCGATGCTCATTCGATACGAATTTCATATCACATCATCAATGTTAACCTTACTTCAAATTGATCAATAAATCCGTTTTTTTTTCCCAAATTCAGCCAAACTTCACATGACATTTTTCTACTTTCCATTTTATTCTAAATAGTCATTTGTTTTTTAGCTTCAATTCAAGTTTCAAACAACTTAATTAAATTTCCAGCATCTAATTTTCAGCTCAATACCTCAACAACTCCACTTAAATCACTAACTTTTTCAATATTTTCCATTTAGTACTCAAACTTTGCCAACTTTCCAAAATAGTCAAATTTCACATTCTACATCAAATCCAATATTCTAACTTTCAATTCCAGCATAGTACATCATCTTTCTAGCATTTGCAAATAAACCTCATAATTTTCCAAAATTATTGAATAGGCCCCCCAACTTTCATAAAATGACAAAATGGCCCAAATAACTTTCTAAAGCTTGTAGAACCTTTCAAACATCATTTCTAAGCCTAGGGAAAATTTTCACAATTTTCCCCAATTAATTCCTTAGGGTTGAATATCATAGTGGTTAGGGTTCTTGATTTTCACTTGATTCAAGCATGAATTTCACCTATAAACAACATTTTAAGGCATTTATAATCAAAGCCCTAACATAATTTAACCAAATCACAATTTTCTCAAAACCCTAGGTCATGGCCAAATGAAATTTCACCCAATTTCAACTAGTTTTAATCATCATACAAGCTTTAGAATTAATCTCCAACATCAAAAACATAAAAATCTTTCATCAAATCCTCAAAAGCAACAAATCCTACACAAACCCTAATTTCCAAACTCATCATATAAGCATGATATCCATGTAATATTTATACCAAATGATAGAGAATTTCAAGGGGATGAATTCTCTAATTAATAGCTTAATCCAAAAATCAATCGAATAAGCTTAAAAATAAAAATAAATTTCCTACATTGTAGCTATGGTAGTGCACGTTTTGGGGCTGGAAGAAACTGGAATTTTCTGATTTTTCTTCAATTAAAATATAATACACTTGGTCTGATATAATATAAATGAATTTAAAATTCATTTAATGTGAAATTATCATTTTACCCTTAATGAAACATGATAATTTCAACTTGCCATTGCATTATCATCCCTTTTAATATTCCAACGTCAAACATGAACAAATAAAAATCCACTTTTCACATTTTCATCTTTTAGTGGCTTAACCAAGGTGGAGGTAATCCAACGGGGAAGAAGGCCTGGCATAGGCGACCGTGACGTGGGTAACAAGATGGGGTAATAACATCGTGACCCTTTTTGTCCTTCTTTGTGGTGACCGACGAAGATATCGACGGTGGGAGAAGGCCTCGAGAAATGGAGAGTCATGGGTGTCTCTACGGCTGGGCAGTGTGGTTGTAACGCAGGGAGGCTTGGGAGCGTGAAGGCGCACGTGGGGCGACTGATCCGGTTGAAACATTAGGGTGAGACCCTAATTTGGGAAAATATGGACCAACAGATCTAACGACTGATGATTGAGGAGGCGCTGGAGAAAAGTATGAAACCCTAGCACGAGTGGGATTTCTCTTGTGGGCGAGTGTTGATTTCTTTAATTTTGTGTACTTGAGCTTGAATTTGTACATATAAATAAATACATAATAATATTTTGTTTATAATAATAATAATAATAATGAAAAAACAACAAAATGGTGATTACACACGCTTATAGAAAAAATATTTATTTATTATTATTTTGAATAAAAGCCGTTAATATTATTAAAAAATGAAAATATTGAAAGTTACAAAAAGAGTTTACAATAATAATCACAAACTACATACATAATTTGGATATTTTCCTATAACGTTGAAACTAATCATTTTAGATCATATGAGGACCATACATGAAAAAAAAGTTAAAAACACAACCAAAAAACTCAAACAATAAATAGATAAAAAAAATCAGATTGCATCGGCAAACAAACCATAAAAGGGGATTAAGCTATTGAAAGACTATCGATAATAGCAAATCAAAGCCCATCGTCACGAGAAACAATCCATAAACACTAAATCTTGCATCTAAATTTAGTCTAAGGGTCCATAGTAGGTAAGATCAACAAAATTATACACAAGCGCCATTTTGATCAGTCATGTCGTCGTCAAAATCAACCTTGAGAATAAATGAAAGACCAAACGATAGAAAAATAAAATGAAAAACGTGTCACAAAGGTAGAGAAAAATATGCCACAAAGAAAGAATTATTCTTTTCAAAAAATAAATAAAGAGAAAAGAGAGCCGGCTATCGAAAAACAACATTAAAATCGATGTCATTGTCGACTAAACAAAATTAAAGAAGAAAAAATTAATATAATCTATAAAAAAATATACAAATTCTAAAGAAAATTTTATTTCATATACAACTATAATTATTTATTTATTATCGATTACGTATGATAATTGATAAAATAATAATAAATTTAATAATGAACAACTAATGAATAGTTTATTATAAAAATGATTATATTACATGATTTAAATATAGAAATGATGTACATTATGATGAGTTGCTGGCTATTTTGACATTACGATAATTATGGTTTACACAAAGTTCTACTTGGAATTGTCTATCTTGCAAACCATTTGAAATTCAATTTTGCAGCACCTCATAAAATCCAATTAATTATATCATCAACCAATTAATTTAGTAAGATGTGATATTATAGAGGGTTCGAATCCTGACGATTACGAATGGAGTAAACTAGATTAAATAGGTCGCTCTTACCTTTATAATACACGATCCAGATTAGTCGATTAATAGATCTGTTACCCATTTTTATAAAAAAAAACGACAATGGTAAAAGAGAAATTCTGAAGGAAAATTGACAAATAATAAAATCAATTCCTATCTACACATCCTCACTCAATATTTTTAGGCTATCTCCAGCCCTCATCTCTACTCTACAACATCTCTATCTATACTCTAAAGATGAAATAATAGTTCATCTCCAACACTATCTCTACATTACCATCAACTTTACTTTATTCACAATATTTAACTATTTAATATTGATTTTGCAAATATAAAATAAAACATATACATTTATAATAAATATCAAGATAAAAAGTATAAATTACAAAAAAAAAAATCAGAAAAATTACAAAAAAAAATTAGTATTTTTATTTATTTAATTTCAATGTATTTGTATCTATCTTGCAATTTAATCTACTTGAATTAAAAAAATCAGAACAATTACAAAAAATAAAATAAAAATTACAACAACAATAATTAGTATGTTTGTTTATATAATTTCAATGTATTTTTATCTATCTTGTAAATTAATTTACTTAAATTTTAAAAAAAATCAGAAAAATTACAAAAAATCAGAAAAATTACAAAAAAAATAGTATGTTTATTTATCTAATTTCAATGTATTTTTTATCTATCTTGTAATTTAATCTACTTGAATTTAAAAAAATAAAAAAATTACAAAATATCAGAAAAATTACAAAAAAATTAATATGTTTATTTATCTAATTTCAATATATTTTTATCTTTCTTACAATTTAATTTATTTAAATTTAAAAAAAATCATAAATAAATAAAAAAAATTGTAGCACAGCTATAGTGACCCGCCAAATATGATGTGTACTGTAGCCGATCACTACATTAAATATCGTTTTTGACGATGGGTTGGAGAAAATACCATCTCCAAAGTGGAGAAGCATTGGAGATACAGCTGGAGATATATGGCTAAGGGCATCTCCGATGCTTCTCCACTTTGTAGATAATTTTCTCTCTAGCCCATCGCCAAAAACCATCTTCATTGTAGTGATATGCTGTAATTTTTTTTTATTTTTTTGTATTTTTTTAAATTCAAGTAGATTAAATTACAAGATAGATAAAAATACATTGAAATTAGATAAATAAACATACTATTTTTATATTTTTTTAAAATTCAAGTAAATTAAATTACAAGATAGATAAAAATACATTGAAATTAAATAAATAAACATATTACTTTTTTTTAATTTTCTGATTTTTTGTAATTTTTCTGATTTTTTTTTTATAAAAAAAATTCAAGTAGATTAAATTACAAGATAGATAAAAATATATTGAAATTAGATAACCCGAACCATATCAGCAATTATCTTCTGTATCCGCTCCGACCCTATTTCATTCGGGTCAACCTCCCTTGCCGGCTCATGCAAAACCGGGTCAACCGCTTTAACTATCTCGGGCATGCTCATTTTCTTCTTATCTCCAAGCCCAGAAACCAACCTGCTTTGCTGACAGCCGAGGAAGAGAGAGGTCTTCGGGGAGTCAAGAGAGGGTCCGGGTTGGAAAAATGAGGGTCTGGAAATGGAAATTCCGATCGAAAGATAGAGCGGGGCTAATTTGGCGGATATGAAAGCAGGAAGTGACAGCGGTAAGAGACGAAATGGGAATATGTGAAGGAGTTCCATGGTCGTCAGTGGCCGTGATGATTTTGCAGTTGAAGAGGAGTTTTCATAAGCCGAAGGGTTTAAGGGTAATGCCCAGATGTTTTTTCAACTTTTGCTTCTTATTACCGAGTTCTACGATTGGGGCTAAATTTGAGCTTCACTTGAGTTTGCCTTGGGCTTCATTATCTTTTCCAATCAATTTAGTCCACTCTTATTCATTTATTCAATTTAGTCCATTTCTTCTTTTTAGTAAAAGATATCTATTTTCATTTCATTTTTATCCCATCCATGACTAATTACATTGTTATCCATTAGTTACAATTGAACCATAATTCAATTTTCTATAATTTCTTTTTGAGACTTTTACAATTCAATCCCTAAACTTCTATTTCTTTACAATTTCGTCCCTATTAGTTCTAAAACTCATAACTATTAAGAATATAAGGTCTAAAATCAGAAAAAAAATATATTGATATCTTTTTTTGGCAAAATTATCATTTATTTCATCATATTTTATAATATTTACAAAATAGTCTTTAACTTTGGTTTTAGCACTTCTTCACAGAGTAACATTCCATGTCTCATTTGATCAAGTATTATTAACTTGACCTAACAATAAATAGGATATTTGATATTAAAATAATATATTACTATCGAATTAAATTGAAATACAACATCAAAACTATTGGGAATTATAAAGAAGAAAAAGTTTTAAGGACTAAATTGTAAATATATAAAAGTTTTAAATTATGAAAAATTGAATTTTGGTTTAAATGGAACTAATGGCCAAGGATGTCACTAGTTATGTATAAGACAAAATTGACATAAAAATATATATTGTTCATTAAAAGAAAAAAGGACTAAATGAAAAATAAATAAAAAGTGGTGTTCACACTGACAGGTTCATCTCATTATCTCTGATAACGTCAAATCTCTTTTGCAGATATGACAATTCATAATTCTGACTGTCGGAGGTCTTCCACGGAAGCTTCTCTTAACCTGACGTTGGGGGCAGCCTACTACCTTACCTTCCCTTACCTCATTACATATGAGAATAGGGTCAGCTATTTTTTTTTCTTTTGCAGGTAATGAACAATCAGATGATCCGAACAGGCGTAAAACCAATATGGTCTTTGGGTTTTTTTGGTTTTTATATGATCAATGTAGCTTTTCAGAAACGAGGTTTTAGTTAAAAATGTTAGTTTCAATGTGGATCGAATCTATGATTCGTCTATGTTAAGGACTGCTACATGGGCGAAGAATAAGTGGCTTTTATCTATCTCGTCAGTGCTATATTTCATCCGACACCCCATGTGTGTGCTATAAATTCGATTGAAAGGTTGCAGGGATCATTGTTTTGAAATGTTTGTACTGAGAAGCTCTCAAAGGTAAGTGTCCATAGTCTGGTTTGCCTGCTGTGTCGGGTCCAAGGCTTGCTTCAATTATTCGGTTTATTTTTAGCTAGCTTGTATTTGGATCGTTGCATGCTTTATTCTCTATTCCTTTAATTGATCAGGGTCCGGAGTTCGCGGAGTTGTTTGCTATGTTAATATCTTTGAAGGTTTTCTCCGAGGCGGGATGGAGTAGCTGCACTCCATTACTGATACACATATATATATATAGACACACACATGAATCTTGATCAATTGATCCCACCCCTAGAAGTTTCTAGCGGCTTTGTGGTGAATGCTCCAAAAGTAGATTCTTATACAAACGTAGATGTTGGTTTTGTACCTGCTTTAATCCTCAAAAACCAAATGAAAGTATCCAACTTGTTCCTACCATTACCATTTGATACAAAATTATTTCTAAATAGAAAATATCATATAATTCAATCAGATTTTATCACGTGCATTCTTAATTTTCTTTTACATGTGACAAAATCTGATTGAGTCATATCATTGTTTTTCTTTAAAGAAACCGTTTAGAGGTTGAAATTATAATGAATTGAAAGTTAAGGGGTCAAATTAATTAAAAATAATAATAAAACAATGAAGGTGAAAATTTTAGTAAACACAAGGGGCTAAAGTAGATATTTAGCATGCTTTTACCATGAAAATGTCTTAGCCTTTGTAACACTATTCGAATATTGAATAGAGGAATCGATTCCCTTGTGTATAAGCTAAAACAAATTAGCAGAAAACTGATTAATCTCCTTTGTTTAGTGAATTAGGGATTCATCTCCCTCATACTATAAATAGAAGAAAACCTAACCATAAAAAGTTTAAGTCGTTAAAAATGGTTGATTCCCTAAAGTAGGGTAAATAGATTTTTTTTAAAATTAATAATAAAAAATGTTTTATTCTAGAGAACTCAGGAATATTAATTTACCATCCGTAATGTGTATTTTTAAAATATTTGTAGAGTATACGGCTCGTTTAATACTTTAACTATCACTTTATTTCGTTTTAGTTATTTAATTATTTTTTAAAATGATATTTAATATTTATTTTTGAATTTTTTGGTCATTTACCTTTAAAAAGTTAACGATGATAATGATGATGTGTCACAATAAGACAATATCATGTTATTATTAAGAAAATAAGAGAAAAAAAGAGAAAATAACCTCATTGACCAAAAATCTCAGATAATATACGATTTTGACCAACTTTTTTTGGATTTGCGAAAATGACCAACAAAATCGCAATACGATCTCTAATTCGCATTGCGATCTCCACTATCGCAAATTCGCGTTGCATTTCGCGTTGCGATAGTTGAAAATCGCGTTGCGATTTTCCATTTCGCGTTGCGATAGTTGAAAATCGCGTTGCGATTTTCCATTTCGCGTTGCGATAGTCTACAGTCGCGTTGCGATTTTCCATTTCGCGTTGCGATAGTTGAAAATCGCGTTGCGATTTTCCATTTCGCGTTGCGATAGTCTACAGTTGTCGTTGCGATTTTCCAAATTCGTTGCGATAGTCTACAGTTGTCATTGCGATTTTCCAAATTCGTTGTGATAGTTAAAAAAAAAAGATTTTGTTTCTTAAGAATTTTCTCTAAGACCACGACCACGACCACGACCACGACCACGACCACGACCACGACCACGACCCGAGACGAGACGGACGGCGGCGGCGGCGCGCGAGAGTCCCCCTTGTTCTCTATCACTCAACAAGGAAGTGGGAAATCCAAGCCTTAAATACCATTCCCAATAGTGTTTCCAATACTATGTGGGATTTGAGCATTACCAACACTTGTTCCCAATACTATGTGGGATTGAGCCTTAAATAGTGATATTATTTTTGAATGTTTTGCTTAAAATTTTTGCAATAATCGCGATTGATTGTAGATTAACTTTTAATTATGACATATTTAATCGTATAATACTAATGTAATTGGTTGTTGATTCAGTTGTTTTAAGGTGCATGATTGTTAATTGTTTCCTGAATAATTACATTGTATTGGAAACAAGTGTTGATAATGCTCAATCCCACATTGTATTGGAAACACTATTGGGAATGGTATTTAAGGCTTGGCTTTCCCACTTCCTTGTTGAGTGATAGAGAACAAGGGGGACTCTCGCGCACCGCCGCCGCCGTCCGTCTCGTCTCGTGGTCGTGGTCGTGGTCGTGGTCATACGTGTCTTCGACACGTCCGCGCGGATACTATCTTTTTAGAGAAAATTCTTAAGAAACAAAATCTTTTTTTTAATGGAAAATCGCAACGCGACTGTAGACTATCGCAACGCGAAATGGACAACGCGATTTTCAACTATCGCAACGCGAAATGGAAAATCGCAACGCGATCTCCAACTATCGCAACGCGAAATGGAAAAACGCAACGCGATCTCTAACTATCGCAACGCGAAATGCAACGTGAATTTGCGATAGTGGAGATCGCAATGCGAATTAGAGATCGCATTGCGATTTTGTTGGTCATTTTCGCAAATCCAAAAAAAGTTGGTCAAAATCGTATATTATCTAAGATTTTTGGTCACTGAGGTTATTTTCTCGAAAAAAAATTATGTTAATATTTTAACGAATAACGATAGATAATTAAATGTAATGTTATGTATACTTTAAAAAAATAATCAATAAAAATTTTAAAATAATAATTAAAATATGAAACGTGTCAATGTCATATATAATTAAGATTTTTCAAATAAGAAATAATATAAAATGAAATGGCAGGTGGGGGATAGATGTCAATGACCAATAAAATAAAATAAAAATCCCAACATGGGCAGGCCCTATTATTTAGCCATGCCCTAGAGTTTAGGGCACCCATATGGGTTACAGCTTGTCCTACCCCATAATTTACTATATGGCCATGGCCATACCACTTTTAATATAAAATGGTTCGTGAAAAAATAAACAATAATTTTCTAAAATGTAATTGCATACAGTGTACAATGAATCTACAAGGCAAAGAATTAGGCAGGTAGGCATAGATGCTATGATTGCTCTTTTTTTATTTATATTGAAACTTGAAAGTTCTAGTAACTTTAAAGAAATAATAATATAATTTATTACAAGCAACAGGTATTTGCTAATTGATAATTTACTATATGTATAATGTATAATTTTATAGAAAAATAATAGAGAAAGTTTATTATAAATAAAATTACAACGTTGTTATCTTTATTTTTAAAATTTCTATTTGTAATATAATTTAAAGATATAAAATAACATGACAAACTCATTTATGATTTTTTAATTAAATTGTCAGTATATAAAATAATTATCCAATAAATTTATATAAAACAATGGATATAGATATATGCTAAAAGTGCATGGTTTTGCTAAGCAAGACCGCTCATGCATACTTCTCACGAAATATGTTGAGACAAGTCCGATTCAAATTAGGTAACGTTTAGAATAAAAATTTGAAAATTCTAGCATGGCGTGCTGATGCAACAAACAATGGAATCGAGGCCTAACTCAATATTTTATTTGACTTTGCTGGCTTTAAATATCCAAGGCCAATCCCCTTTGCATGGCAGACCATCATCAAAACACACAAAGGCTACTCGATATCCAGAATTACAATGACGAAAAGCTCCAGATTTGCAGAGCGAAATGGTGATAACAGGAAGGATGATAAAGCCATGAAGGAGAAGAAGGCGGCTGCGGCTCCGCCGAATAAGCTGGAGAAAAAGCCGTCCGTCGACATTAACGAGAGCGCCGAGGCGTTCATCCAGAAATTCAGGCATCAACTTCTGCTTCAGAGGCTTGAATCTATTGAAAACTATGAGCAAATGTTGGCTAGAGGTCTCTAGGAGATTGATACTGGTATTATCTGCTGCGCTGCTCTTCTGATTAATGCATGTATGACTCATCATATTATTTTATATAATTATAAATAAAAGCCTCATTGTTTTATTTTTGTTATTGATGGAGCGATGTTAATTTGGGTAGCTTTGGTTTATTTTTCTAAGTTCCATGAATATGATTGGCTTGTTTCATTTATATCAGAAGACAAGTGTGTAGTTTATCGAAGCATTTTGCAGTACCTCGAAACTTTTAAAGTTCTGTATCTTTAGATTAGTTACGGTGAGTATAATCTATTGATATAATTATTGGCAAGCTCATGCAATCTACTAATTAAATCTATCATATGATAATCAAATCTATTTGTGATGTTAACCTAGAGATAACATCATCACCCTAAGACTAAGACTAATACTAGGGATTTTGTATATGAATCATCATATAAGGCTAGAGAACGGAACTCTCTCTCTTTCTCAAACGAATGTTTATCATTTTTTTTAGTTTATATATTCATCTAATAAACAAATATCTATCACTTTTCATCCAAATCAAAAGGAACAAACTGTTAGAAATAAGGATGGATCTAGAGGGCAGTTGGGACCAGTCGTTCTTCTAAAAATTTCAAATTAACATATATTTTAGATATTTTTTATTGATAATTTATTTTCAGTTATTAGAATTTTGTAAATATCCTCTTAAAACTTTTAAATTTTATCCCATAAAATAAATTCTCATGTACGTCCTGATTAGAAACCACCCCTATTTCCCTCCCGGCAAGAAGTGAGCAACTTGTGGTTTTTTGATCCTATCTTGACGAGTTATTTTGTTGTTGGAGGATTTGATGTTTGTTTTTGTGGGTATAATGTGCAAGTGGGTGTGTGTTTGGGTTGATGGAGTATAGAAATAATGGTTGAGATTTGACAATGGAGATTTGAGAATGGATTCCTTCGTATGCTAGCTAATTTGGAAGGACACCATGAGCCCTTAAAAGAAAGAGACTCCACTGCGTATCCAAATGAAATAGATAATTATTTGCTTCTTTTTTGTTTTGGAATTGGACCTACATACACCATTCCATGGGCTTAATTATAAAAATATTTTACTACAAGTGGACGTAATATAATAAAAATAAAATGAATATATATATATATATATATTTAAAGAATTTAAGAAATAATTTTATACACAAGATGGAAGCCTGGACCTGAGCCATTGGATTCGTCTGTCATCAAGCAAGTACATTGACATAGCATGACAAGGTTCTGAGGCTATGATGATGATGGTCATAGACTTTTCGTATGCATGGCAGAACCAAGGAGAGGTCTTTGACTCCTGTTAATTATATTTTTAATTATTAATTAATATAAATAAATATATATATATATATTTAAAAAATAAGTAAAAAATTATTTATTCTCTCAATTAAATAAATTATATTTATAAAAAATAAAAATTTATTTTAATCCCAACTATAATAAATTTTTAGTTACATCCTTATTCGTATGACCCTGATGGCACTCCCTGTTAATACTTCTATTTTTTTTATAAAATATATGAAGAGATAAATTCCACTCTCCAATGATTTGATATTTCATTCAAGTTGTGAATAATTTTAACACACATTACATTCGATATAATATATTTTAATATTTGAATTTGACAATTTAGTTTAGATTATAATTATTGTCACAACAATTTGAAATTTATCATTGAATTCAATAAAATGAAAAAAAAATATCTAATATTTACTTTTAATTTTTTATTTTATCGTTAAACTTTTAATTTATTCTTATTTTGATCATATTAAATAAAATATAAGATGATGGCATGATTTATTTATTTTATAGACATACATTATTTGTTTGACATTGCCGTCATGTGTAGTCCACCTCATTAAATAAAAATAATTTCAAAATTCAGTAACTAAATTAATTTTTTTAAAAGTTTAATGATTAAAATAAAAATGAGGATAAAATTCTAACAATAATCCTTGCAAAACTGAAATGTTAGCACTGATTGGGAAAAAAAATAAAAAAAATAAAATAGAGACAGATACACTCGCGCTGTGGTAATTCATTTTCTTAGAAGTTATTTCGATTCGATGTGTGTAATTTTAAATTAAACCAGAATTAAATTTGTAATATTTATCGTCCAATCAGAGTTAGTTCAAAATATATAGCTTGTCGTCGCTTCCTTCATCTTCTATTCTGGAATCTGAGTGAAAATTTTTCATTGTCAAAAAATTAAAGAGAATTTAATATCAAGGTCATTTTACAAAAAAAAAAAAAGAAGAAAAAGAAGAAGAAAAATGATTCACAGTTATTTTGTCATAACATATTAAAAATTTGACAACGAAATAATTAAAATAAGAATAATTTAAAAATTCAATAACTAAATTAAATTTCTTTAAAAATTTAATGATTAAAATAAAAATGAGGCTAAAATAAAAATTAGTGAAAATTTGTAAAACTGAGACATTAGTATTTATTGGAAAAAATAAGAATAATAAAATAGGGAAGGGCAAACACATGTCGTGGTAATCAACTGCCTTAGAAGTTAATTCAACCCGATGTATTAATTGCTGCTATTGGTTAAATGACCCTGAGATTAACGTGATTCTTCAAAATTTCGTACACTTAAAAGATTGAAGTGGACAAGGGTGATATTACTCTTCACCACAAAAATTTCGAAATGAAAAGAACAGAAGAAAATGTTGTCATTAAATTTATTTCACCTGAAATTATTACATATTTTCTCTAAAAAAATAATACACAAATAATACATGTCAAAGCCACGACTTCAATAATTTATGTATGTGAGGGAATTATCTCATCACATTCAATATAAGAGATAAAGGACCTTCACAAAGGTATATTCCTTTTTAATGCGGGACAAAAGCATTTTTTTTATTTTTTTTCTATAGCAATACTAACAAAAATTAAGGGATGAAATTTGTAATTTATCCAAAAAATAATGATGACATCAACCTCTAGCACCTATGGGCCTAACCCTCGAACTGACCTGGTCCCTTGCAAGAGAAAAGAACAAAAAATAATGTTTTGAATTGAATAAACTGATTCATGTGAATGATTGTCATCGATCAAGACTTGCTTCAGCTTGCTCGTTAAATTAATACCACTACATTCCCAAGCCATATATGCACGTACACACTACACATCTATTAAAATAAAAACACCCACTTTTTAATTAATCAAAATGATCACTTCCCTTGGGATCACATTGCATCATCTTTATTACACAAAACGACTAAAAAAGAAAGACATTCGTAGATAGGATCATCACACAAAAGAAAGCAGATAGTGTATGTGCTTTCTTTCTCCTCATGATTTGCACCAACAAGCAGCAGCTAATGCCTGCGTTTTGCCTAGTCTTACTGTTGAACCACTTGGTGCAAATGCTGACGCTGCAGCACTTGCAGATTGACTCGGGAGCATGATCTAGCCATCTCTCCGGCCAGTGGGATCACCGGTAGGTTATCGCAGTTGCATATCTCGATCATGAACCCGTCCGGGTCGTGGAAGAAGAGTTGATCGACGTAGATGCCGCCTTCTTCCACCATTGCCCGTACGTACTCTATTTCCATGTCCTTCAGCTTCTTCTCCACTTCCCCCATGCTCTCGCACTGAACCCATTCATACATCGATTACTTAACTAAGCTGCACATCTATATCTGCTATGATTCATTCTTTATCTACTTATAATTAGACATAATACCAAAAACATATATTTAATGTTTGATTAAATAATCATTTTAATTTTAATTTTTTAGAGCATTTTAGAATCAATATTTCAATAAAAAGACACCTAATATTTATTCTAGAACATAAAAATCATTATTTTGGAGCGTTAACTGTTTGATGACTAATAATTTTCATCTACATAATATACTTTAAAAAGGATACGAATAAAAATAAATATTTAATCAAATGTTAAATTTTTTTTATCACCTTACGAACACAATGATCCATTCCGACATACAATTCAAAAAAATATATTATAATAAAAATGGTTTATATTTAATATTTTCATATTTAAATAACTGTGTCTACGTGATATTTATAAACTATCAATATATTAAAATAAATCTGAACATGCATTATTTAATACCCAACTATTCATAGAAATAAATGGGACACAAGTTTCATGAAGAAAAGAACACTAAGACGATATTTTTATATTACCAATGTGAATAATTTAAGAGAAGAACCTGAAAAGAGATGTGGTTATCCTTGGGGTTGATCTCCTTTTTCTTGGGCAAAGTCTCTGGGTTCTCTGATTGCAGAAGATGTATTCCGATTCCATGCCCAAACAACCTGCACCACACCCAAAAGAAATCAACCCAAAATCTCTCTCGGGAATTTCATCGAACAGGTTAAGCTTGAAACAGAAACGCATTTCCTTTTTTTAATAAATTACCAAGCACCACTGAAGTCAAACGATCCAGGCCTCCTGATGGGATCAAACCCAAGAACATTCTGATAGAAATTCATGGATTCCTCAACCGATCTACACACGAGGGAGATATGGTTCAAGGATTTGAGGTGAAGAGGGTTTCCCTGATTTTCCTTCATTTTCTTTTTCTCCCAGAGAAACTAATGTAACAAATGATTAGCTAAAGAGACCAAACAAAATGAAGATGATGATGTGAACGAGGAAAATGGAAGAGGGATTCATATATAATAATACAGGGGAGGAATTTCATAAGGAAGACACGTACATTGAAAAAGATGACTTTAACACGTAACTAGGATCACGGTCATTGAAGGAGAATACTTTTAAACTAGCTAGACATGCAAGCTGTTTGAATTTATTGTCTTAGTTTGGGTGTAGCTTTGTCATCTGTCTTTTCCTGCTCAAACCTTTGTCGGAATCTTTTCAATAACAAAAAAAATTAACTAAAACATTATACAAAATACTTATGAGATTAGATCCTGAGCTCCAATAAACAAAATTTTGAAGACAATTATGAATGATTTTGTTGTTGTTGTGTTGTATAAAAAGACCCGATCTGATTTATTGATTTGATTTGAAATTTTGGATATCTAATTTAATTTTTTTTTGAATAATTCGGATCGAATATCCAAAAAGATTTTGAATAATTGGATATCAAATAAATTTCAATTCCATATTATCAAAAAATCCTAAAATATGAGCTTTTAGATTTTAGATACACTTTAGTCCCAATAAAAATTAAGATATTTAATTATTTATTTTATGTGAGTAATTAAATACATTTAATATAGTTAAAGTACCGAATAAGTTACATTAAATCATAAAATATAAAATATAATTTTTTTGTCAATTTTAAATATAAAAATGCAGATATCTGATAATTCAAGTATTCAATTTTTCTAATCAAATACGAATTATTATTTTAGGTATCTAAATTTTTAGATATATAAATTTTTAGATCAGATCAGATTTGATATTTGAATTTGTACGCCTCTAATTTTGGTGATATTAAATGAATTATAATTTATCTGTAGTAATAAATGTCATCAATTATGATTGATACTGTTGGTTAAATAAATTATTATTATTTCATTTATTGGTGGCGAAGTTCAATTTTAATTCATTATGATGTATTTTTATATTATTTAAATAATGATTAAAGACATCTAACTTTACTCATAATTAGTTGGTTTAGTAGGATGAGATATTAGGTCCCTTAAGCAAGGTTAGGGATTCAAATCTTGGCATTTGCGAATTGAGTAAACTGGGTTGGGATGGTCACCCTCGCCTCTGCAGTACCGAATATGAATTAGTCGGTTAATAAATTGTATGTTAGTGATTAATTAAAAAAATACATCTAACGTTGGATTAAAGTTGTTTGTGAAAAAATCACCATGAATGTATAAATTAATAATTATTTTCGAGTATAATCATCGAACATTTTTTTATAAATTTATATTTATCCATATTTTTATAAAACTAGTATAGATTATATTCTATATTCTATTTATTTGTTAAAACGTTTTTTTTTATTTTCTTTGTATTCATTTATTATTAAAAATAAAAACATGCAGAGACAACATACAAGCGTTACCTGTCTGATTAGGATTAGATTAACAAAAGAAAGTATATGGCATTATCAACAACTAACCTACTCACGTCATTTTCTACGGTGTAAAATTAATCATTATCCATTAGTGCATGCTGACAAAGATGCACGAGTAAAATTAAAGGTTTTTTTTAGGATGAATATAAAATTTTAAGATTGAAAATAAATTGTCAACAAAAAAAAAATAAAACTTAAATCATATAAGAATTTAAAATTTTCACGAGAACGACCGTTCTACCAATCCTTCTGGTCCATCTCATCTGTCATGTAAAGTGCACATATGTATAGTTAAAAAATGAATTCAAATATCAAAACAATTGAACGTATCTTAATCTATGCCTAAAATGATCTCATGCATCACATGAATAAGAAAGCTAATATTTGAATAAAATTGAGGTTTAGTTATTGACATTTGTACTTGGTACTTCTATTCTCATGCAACAACTTCTTTATTACATTTCTTTATAAAAAAATATTATATCCAACAATTTGTATTACGTTTGGTTAAAATAATTAAAATGGGTCATTTTGTCCTCATCTTGATTGTCTTTCCCCCCCCCCCTGCCTACAATATGTTAAAATTATGGAATCTTTTGAAAGCTAGCATGATGAGTAGCACCTTCCTATCCTTTTATTTTTCTCTATTTCATCATTTTCTCCCTTTTAAAGAGAGCATTCGAGTTTTATTTTTCTTTATTTAGGTGTACAACATAAGCTCCTAAATGCCTTCCAGAAGTTCGGACTTGGCGTTCCATTGTTTCAGAAGTTGCAGCATCCATGACGTTTTGTTTCCGTGCTACGAAATGGTACCACAACCGTAAGAATTCCGGCAAGTCTGAACCGCGTTGGAAGAAGGGCGCGTTGTTTAAATCAAAGCAGCACAGATGAGATCCTCCACTTTGCATGAACCTTTCATGCATTTTTGCCACTTGTTGGATTATCACCTCGGAGTTCAACTATCACACTTAAATGCGTTTTTGCATGTGTTGTGCCTTTCGTCGCCTCTATCGAGCATCAACTACTCATTTACGCTACGTTACTATATATCATTTTTATTTAAATCATGTCTTATAATTATTATTTATTTATTTAGTATATGTCCACCACGTGAAGTGGGGGGGGGATACACATCGACAATTAATTACTACTAACAATAAGCAAGATTAAACGATAAGGATTCCGTATTCGTAAGCCGAAGCTGTTCCCCTGCGTACAAAGCGACCGTAGCGTCTTCTTCGAGCATTACCAATCACTCAATCTTCATCCACCAATAATAAATACATTTCCTTTTTAAACAATCATGTAACACAGTTTATTCTTCTTTACATTATGATTATTTATACCTACTTATAGATTAATATTCCAGATTTTTAAAATTAAACGATCTAGTTATAGACTTGATATAAATTCTCAGTTGATACCAATTTTATATTTTGTTATGTCTCTACCAAATGTCTTTTACGTGTCATCTTGATACTAGCATCTCAAAGTCTCAAAGTCTTTAAAAAAAAATCTTTTCATAAGTAGGATCTAAGAAAAGTACATATAAAAAAGAATATTGAATATCTCAAGAAGCCGCGGCATACAATATTAACATGACATTTGATAGATTCACGTGACATATCAAAGTTAAGTTTGTTAGTTCTTTGTATCCACTTAATTTGGTAACCATAAAACTCTACGTCTGACACTGGCTTAAAGAGTCGCTATAAAACCTCTCGACTATGATCTAGAAAATGAGAAAACTAATTCATTTTCACTTGTTTCTTTTTCACCTCATTATGGAGATAAGATATTTTAACATCGATTAACGGTTGATCTATCAACAACTACGACTCTCAAATCAGAAAGTATAAAAAACATAATCCGTTTGTTCCATCCATAAATTCTATTTTAAGAAAGCTCCTAAAAAACTACTATTGATATAGAATAAAGTCATTTTTGCATGAAAAGTAGATAAGAAAAGCAACCACAAACAAAAACAATTAATAATATTCAAGCAATAAAACTAAATACAACTCTTGAAAACAAGATTTATATACTGAAATAGTAATAATAATAATAATAATAATAATAGGAAAGGGTGGAAACAAGTCTAAAATGTTGACTTTAGTTACATTCATATTAACGCAAAAGTCTTGATGAATGGATGTAATAAGTAATGTCACGATATAACCAAAGATACCCACAAAACCAAGCAACTTAATACTTCCAAGTTTGGTCATCTTATACGTGTTTTTGGTCGCCTGAATTCTTCCTTAACAACATATATATATATATATATATTGTACAAAGGACCATTGAGATTTGAGGCAATGGCAGCCATGTTCTTGGCAATTCTGGTTACTGCAATGATAAGCAAAGAAGCATACTTAGTCCATGGTGATATTGGCACTGCATCATTTTATAACCCTCCATATATACGTTAGTGTATTCTCTCTTTTTTTTATCATTTTTATTTAAACAATTCGAGGCTTATATGTAAATGATTCACCTGTGTTCTCTCTTGCAATGCAGCAACTAAATGTGATGGTAACACAGAGGAACAATTTCCACCCGGGAATATGTTTGTCACGGTTAGCGAGGGATTATGGGACAACGGCGCCGCTTGCGGCCGGCGTTACAGGTTGAGATGCCTGAGCGGGCCAAAGAGACCATGTAAGCATAGGACCATTGATGTTAAAGTGGTGGATTTCTGCCCTCTCATGCCATGTCCCTCGACGATCATGTTGTCCAGGGATGCTTTTGCAGCTATTGCACATAAACGTGGAAGGAAAATCAATATAGAATATATACAGTAATTCCCTTCTTCCTTTCATCTTCTTCTTCATTTCCCTGTTTGAAAACAATTACAGCATAGAAATGAATATGAAACTTATGTTTCTGAATTTAAACATAATGATTGATGACATGTTGCAGGGTTTGAGAAGGAAGCCATCATTAATACAACCATATGAAAGGGCCAGTTTCAGCCTGTGTAAGAAGAAAAATGCTTGCATGAATGCATGCAAGGATGACATTAGAAATGTGATAAAGATGTTAATATCAAGTTTGTAAATTCTTCCATTTGTACAAGGGAAAATAGTATTAAATGAAGGGAAAAAACGAGAAGATCGAATTACTTTTCATATGTAATTGTAAAGTTGGAAAAACTCCCATAATTTTAATTTTTCAAGTATGGAAACTAAAAATGTAGAAAGCAAAACCAGGCAAGTATGGAAGCCTCCTTCAATATCTTTCTAACCGCGTCTTAAATTATCAAAACATTAGCCAGCTATTCCATTCTCGGTATACAAAAGTAAGAAATGACCAATACAAAGGAGAGGGTACAAGAAGTTGGAGATTGTTGAGTCGGATCTCCTTCGGATTTGGCCGCACCTTCGATTTGCTTCGACTGTCACTCTTTGGAAGTTATAACAAGCAACCCCAATGCTCCGATGAGAATATACTGCGATGAAAATGAAAACCATTATGATTGATATTCCGTAAGATGATCATTAATGTCCCTACAGGTTTTGTTAGCCTCCTGAAACTTTGGAACCTTCGTAACAGTTCGAAAATCACAAACAATGGTTATTTAACTAGAGGCCAACCCTCAACCCCCAATGTTTGACGTAAATAAGAGTGAAATCAAGGCAATTTTGAATGGAGGGAAAATATTTTGTATTTGATGAAACAGTGATGCAAAGATGCAGAAATGAAAAAGGGGAAGTCCCCCAAAAAAGTTACAGGTACCATGACATAATAGTAGCCACTAGGTTTGACTATAAAAATGTTTTGTAGGACAATAGGAAAAAGGCTTTCTAGTTTAAGTAAATACATGTGTAAAAAACAAACCTTGACAATTGGCTTTTCGGTCATGATTATAGTCACCCAGCCAACATAAGGCAGGAACCTGCAATGGAAGTATGTGATTAGAACACATTTTCTCACACTTGAAAGTACATCACCCACCCTTTTGCTTGAAACATGTTTAGAGGGATTTTTCAGTTCAAGCCCAGATCTCAGGAATGCAAGATATTTTCAATATATCCCAAAAATATATATAAAGGCACAGGAACACCAAAACCTTTTAAAGACAAACAAGAAAACAGGAATGCAAGCCTTTCCAGCGTATAAAATATTGTTATCATTCTCTATTTGCTAGCTTTCCAATAAAAACAAAGGAGATATGTCAACTCCAATGTCCATTTCCATCAACTTTGAGTGTAGTCTAACACCAAAACACTAAGATTCAGATTTCAAACAAAAGTAGTTAACTAAGATATCTCCCATTATGCCCTCTCTCCATAAAATGCACGGATGGATATGTGTGTATGAGTGTTGGATTCTTAAGATACGATATGATTTTGAAGAGGAATGCAAGGAATGATCAATAATCTGTTATGCACAAAAAGAAGGGTCAAAGGCTAAAGGCTTACCCAACAGCTCTGCCCATGATATGATGCCGTTGAAGATAGAGCTGACCTTGAGCATATAAGAGCCTGTCATCCCCATAATTGTTGTCTCCTGAAAATTCACAGATAAAGGAAGAACATTTAAATATCAAACAATTCACTTCTGGCAATTGAAAACAAAGTTAATATTTATCAGAATCAGCTGTTACCTTTGGTGAGGACATCAACTTCTCCGGTATCTTGCTTTTCATGGACCTACAACAACATCAAATATGAAATCCAAATATACCAAGAATATGTTATCTGTTAAGATAACAAAAATAGTTTTCTTCTTTCTCATACAGTTTCAACTTTTAAACTAAAGATAGTGTAGAAGCTTTTCCGGGCATAAAATAGTTTCAAGAAACTTGGGTCCCAAGAAATAACTAGATCATGAAAATAAAGAATGGCCACTACACTTGTCAGCTAGCTCTGGTTCAAACTCTAAAAGGAAAGCATTCAGCCCAATATTTTGAAAATTAATTGTGCCAAGTTATAGCAGCCAGAAAAATCTGAAACCATCACAATTTGAAAGAAAAAAAAGATCTCCAAAATAGAAATTCATTTAGAAGTGACAATACACTTGCATAAATAATCTTAAAGAAATAAACAATGCTACTCTAATATACAAAACACACACACTACTACAGTTCAACAAACACAACGAGTTCAGATTTAAAGCAGTAAGTATCACATTTGCTGCAATCTTTCACTTGCATAAAGAATATGTGAGCTCAAACAATTATTGTTTCTAAACTGGCCCTCTTGACAATTTGGATGCTAATTAACAGCTGCATTCTGAAATTAAATATCTTATCACTTCTAATATTTGATCATGGTTTTGTCCTTGATCATGATAATTTATTTGCATTCTGATTTTATTTGTTTTTTTATTAAAAAAATTATCTATTGACAGTTTTTGACGTTCGATCAATATTCCTTTTATTAATAAAATTAATTTCGTTGTGAAAAAGAATATTGCTAATTTGCTATCACACTTTAATCCAGAAGTTTTGTAGAACCAAACGTATTGAAGGCGAAGGAGTAGGCCTTCTTCCCTGGGACTGTGGACTTTATGTAATCATTACGAAACTGAATGTTACTGCATCCTACGTTGTGGTCGCAGCTCAAATTGATCACCTTTTCTGTGATTGATGTTCCGACGATGGAGCTATACGTCACGTCGCTGATCTTGATGCTCGATGTCTACCAAAATTCAGGATCAAAACACATGAACATGACGATTCAAAATAAATATACACCAAAAGTCAATTTAAACCTAATTACACTACAAAAGTACAAATGAATTGTTGTATATAGAAGAATATTTTGACTATCAAAATCTGTCACTATAACAAGGTTTATATTGACCTAGGCATATATCAAAATTGCCTAATCATTTACTTTCGAATGGTCATTTTAGTCTATATTCTTTTTGTGAGTATTTTAGTTCTCAACGTTTAAATTTTTTTGTTAAAATGGTCCATGTTAGATGAAAATCGTTAATTGACTAACGATCAACAAATGTTGCTAGCGCGATATTTCCACAAATACTTAATTACTAACGTGTCATATGTCATGTCATCACGTATCACCTTGGGTGATATGATATAATATGTGATATATCAACAATTAAGCACTTGTGGGAATATTACATCATCAACATGCGTTGATCGTTAGTTAACGATTGATTTTTTATCCAACTTAGACTATTTTAAACATTTAGATGTTGAAGGCTAAAATATTTTATAAAAATATAGGCCAAAATGACCATTCAAGCAAATGTTGAGAGCTAATTTTGACATTATTCCGTTTACTTATTACTTATTACGTATCTTATACCAGCACATATTTGACCATATGGTTGTATAGATTTTACCTTTAGTGATATATCAATTCTTTCACCACTATATCTCATATGTATACGAACAGTGTAATGCTACGATTTCTGGGTCAATAGTTTCTGCCAACCTGAAACCTGTCAGTAGAGCCCATTAGATTTTCCAAGCTAATTTTAGACCAATTCTTAAGAGTATTGGTCTTAAGGTAGGCCCAAGAGTTTAGTTAAGTGGTAGTTTTAATTTGAGGTAAAAAGGAAAAGGACAAAGTTAGCAATTTACCCATAGCTTGTTTTAAGAGTTATAAACCCTTTATTTTCCAAAGTCTTCCACGTAAAAATCAACCCAAAATATCATCTCCTTTATTCTTCCTTGTATATCCCAAAATCAAGCCAAAAGTAGAAGCTTTTGAGATTTCCAAGCTTAGTTTGAAGAAACCAAGGTAAGATTCTTATTTTTCATCCCTTAAGCTTCCATTAGAGCCCTTAATCTTAAGTTTTGGTTAAGTTTTCAAAAATGAGTTTTCAAAGAAATAGAAGAGATTTAGAGATGTAATCTTGTTTCTAGAAAATTTGAGTTAATTAGAGTGTCCTTAACCTTATTTTAATCTTTAGATAAGTTGGTAAACCCTTTTTCCTCCCTTTTGGTTAGTTAAAGTAGTTGGAGAAAATTCAAAGGCTGGAGGTAAGGAGACGGTGAATCCTAGTTGATTCAAGAGGTGTTTTAGTAGGCAAGGTAATCATGTAACACACTATTAGCTTTTCCATACCAGTTGTAGAATCATTAGAAAAGAATTTTAACTAGAAAGTTGAGATAAAGCATGTTTAGTAGCTTTCCATGGTAGATTTTATGTTTAATGTTTCAGCATGTTTCTAAGCCTTATGTATGCTCCCTTAATATCACATAAGACTTTAAGAATGTTTGGGGACCTCACTAGGGTCTTTGGGATTGAAAAATAGAGTTTCTCGTACTTGTTTTATGACTTATGCAAGTAGAGTATCAATATTTTTTGAACAAGAGTATCGAAACTTTAGGTCATAGTTTCGAAACTCCCAAAAAGTATCGAAACTAGGCATAACATAATGTTTAAAAGTATCAGTACTTATATAAAGTATCGAAACTTTTACCGAAGTATCGATACTCCTAGGCTAGTATCGATACTTTCAGTCTGTTTTGGGCAAAAATGTCGGTTTTTTAGGGATTTAGACATGAGGTACCACAACACTTCATTATATCATCAAATAAGACTACAAGTGGAACGACGTTAATGTTTAAATCAAACGTAGAAACTAATATATAATTAGGGACAAATAATACTAGCCTTGTTTGATGCTCGGGAAATGATTCGGACACCCGAGCTCCTTTAGAAAAGCTAGTGGAGTTGAAGGTATAGATGCAGTCTAGATATATCCTTAGATAGGGAGCAAGGCCCTTAAAATCGACTAACTAAGGCCGAGGCTTGACACTCGCAAGGGATGGGTTAGTTAGGGGTACAATGTCCGAAGCAAAAATTTCCAGGACCATGTCCTAGTAGACTAGAGGGGTGCGTGAGCTCCGAGATGTAGTAATCTCTCAGTCGCACCATGATGTCTACAGTAGCGTAGAGAGAGAATATCGCAAGGATAATCACTGAGCAAATCAGATCAGTAGACTTGATAGCTAGCCTTTCAGTGATATGCAGTTAGTATGTTTTAGCTATTAATATGTCGCTAAGCTAGTTAGCTCAACCTTTGGATTGTTTTCGTGGGCAAGTTAGTAGATCCAGCAGGTGAGGAGCATTAGATAGACCAAAACCCAAGGAAAGATCATGTGTTCGGGGAAAAAACAATTCACCATACTCATAATCTCAAGTTATTAAGTTAATGAATTTCACATTAAAGAGCAATAATATGCCTTCAGAAAGTCATAACATTCCATAAGCTCCAACCCAGAACTGAAAATATATGTAATTCGGAATGGGAAGCATGATATTACACAACACTCGCATGATAAATGCATACTACAGCATAGGATATACCATGCCTTTCTGTAGAGTACAAGACACAAATTTACTGTCTCCAAATAGGCGGTGACTGTAGGGCATTCTTGGCCTAAAACTCAGTCGGAGGTTTTAAACGTACCAATCTCCTGATCCTGTCTTTATCCGTGTTCTCCAGATATCCCTTGGGAATATTTAGAAGAAAAAAAGGTGAGAAGAACGTCAGTAGCGGTATCCAATAAGAAAAATGCAATTGGATGCTAATTAACAATCAGATGAAAAGGAACAGTTTCATGAGACAGATATAACAGGTGCTTAGGCACTACAAGGAAGTGATCACGGGCAGATGAATGATCATAATTACTGTTTTCAGCCTCTCAAGTGGTAAATGTTCTAATTATAAACAAATCTGATCAAAGGAAGAATGCCACAATTAATTATTGATATAACACCAATTTCTGACCTCACCTGCCAAATAATTTCATCTAAAGTCAAGCATATCCTTCCATACTTATCCAGAAAAAGGCGCTCTGTTGGTAGCTTCCCACATACATCCTTTACAGCTGAGGTTATAACAAAGATCACCTCTGCCACTGGAGCAAAACAATGGAGGTAAATCAGTAATGAATTCAAGTGTGTAACCTAATGTACCATGCTAGACGACATATATGATACTCTTTTCAATGCACTACAATTATCAAAGTGTTGACTTCCTTTCTTTCTTAAGTTTGCAGAGTGCTAAATTACATTTTAGTTTATAGACCATAAGAATGGGTCGCACTATGGGAAAAAAGCAAGCTATGTTAAACATAATAGAGAAGCTTATCCAACTAAGAAAATAGAGATTTATTAAGGTCAATAGAGCCGAAATCCACAGTTTTCAATTTCAAATCATCCAAGAAGGAAAGAATGTATGACCCAATCTAGTTTTCTAACGTCAAACAGCACGAGAACTACGTATTTTGAATCAGGGAGTTTCAAGTTTGTAGCTTCTTTACCCCTCACATATTTGAGTGGGTTGTATGTGTCATGAGCTCAAAATATACTTACATGCAAGTTCATCATACGCGTCTTTGCCAACAACATAGACGCTAACATCTCCGAGCACTGTGTAAACAATGTAAACAGACCTGATAAAAGAGCATGATTGTTAAGTTCTTTAAACTCATATCTCTTAGTCAAAAGCTAATATTTTTATCAAATGGATGCTGGAACTCTAAAAGTTTTATTCTAAGCCCCAAGAAATATTTTTCATTTATTAGTTTTAAATGTGTATACTATGAATCTTGCTTTTTGATGATGCAATAACAGTGAATTTGAGATCATGTATCACCGTTTATGTTTCACACAGTGACTACTATTAGTAGACTGTCCCCCACATAGAATAATGGCAGAAGCAAGTGTTTCACACAGTTCAATCAAGTTTTCTGGGTGTAGCAAACATCATTTAAATGCCAGCTGCAAAGTATATGTGACCTGATTTAAGCCAGACTTAGTCCTCCCATCCCAGAATCCATTCCCCATAGAATAATTCCAGAATGCATCTTAGAGATGGAAAACTTGCATCATAGATACAGAAATAGAAAATGGAAGAAGGATATCCATACTTGTGAGAAGCAACAAGCAGCTCTTCATTTTTAACACCCTTAAGATTTTCTGCTCCAAGTTTAACTAGGAAAGATCTCCAATGCAGCCGTTCCTCAGCAGGAACTCCATTAAAGCTGCAGTAAAAGATAATCCCCAGGGTAATGCTCAATTATGTTATCAAGAAGAGATAAGAGATCAAGTTCAACTATCATTTGAAAGTTAGACTGCATATTCCTCAAAAGATCAGATCAATATCAAAAAGAATTTATACAAGTACACACTACTTCACTCTCACAGGACTGAGACCATTGTTAGTAGCATGATTCTTGGGACTAGACTACAAAACAGAAAGTCATGGATAAAGTCCTAACAGCAGCCACTCAAAGTGGAAATGTAATCAAATGCTTCTTTTTCTGTTAACCGTTATTCAGACCCATTGGCTACTTGTCTTAACTCTTAAGCACAGACCTCTGTTGTTGATATATGGATGACAATAAAAGTTGTGATCAGTCTCCGAGACCTTTGAAATTATAGGTGTTGGTGTGATTTAAGCTTGGTTTTAAAAGGCGTAGGCGGGCGCCTTTCATAGGTGAGGCGCACTTTTATACTAAAAAACCTATAAATTAGTTATGGAACATATTTTATACTTAAAACAATATTATAAACATATTTATGCTAAAAAGTTTATAAATTAATTGTATGAGTATATTTATACTCATTACCCACTAATTAACTCCTAAAATACTTGTCTACAATGTATTGATTTATACTTAAGTTTTTAATATTTAAAACTATTATTTTATTTATTTTTATAAACATATTTTAATCCCCTTTCACCAAAATCTACACTGTTATTGATTTATACTTAATGTTTTAATATTTAAAACTATTATTTCATTTATTTTTAAATGATACAAATTTATTTTATTATCAATTTAAAAATTTTAATTATATAAAAAATTAATTTTTATATTTAATAAAATTTATTAAGTAATTAATATTTAATTTAATATTTTATTATTTTAAAAATTAAAATTAATTATGCATTTTTAAATAACTAATTTTCTAAAAAAATCATATACTTTAAGTTAAAAGCAGACAAAGGGTGGAAGAAATTATAATGATTTGTTATAAATAAATAAACAATAGACTTGGACTATAAATTTGGGCTATAAAATTGGGTTTGTTAATAAGTCAAATATTAGGGTTAAGAAATGAGAAAATGTGATAAAATAAAGAGTTTTCTAGACTTCTTCAGTCGTCTTCTTCATTTCTTACTACTGCAATTTTTTATCTTCTTTAATATGTTCAACTTCCTATTATTATTATTATTTTTTTAAAATCCGAAAGGCACAAAGACGTCTCGCCCGGAACCTAAAGCCCATAGGCGCACGCCTCTTGTTTCTCGCCTCACCTCATCCTAGGCGGGCGCCATCTTCAGTGCCTGGCTGCGCCTCGCGTCTAGGCATGCCTTTTAAAACCAAGGATTTAGGACCTCAGTTGAATTTGGAATAGATGATATTCTCTTTCTTAAATTGTTTACAAAGTATATATCAGAGGTTTAATCTAGAATCCAATTACGAAATCTTTTT